TTTCCAGCCTGGCGGCGTGAAACCAGCAACGGATGCTTTCCCGAGAAGACGAGGCAGGCCCAAACAAGAATGGGCCAAGTGAGCACACAGCTTATCATCTGCACATGTTGGTGGCGACGAGCAATTGATGCAGAGCTTGAAAGACCCGGCGCTGTGGAGAACAGCGGCACACGCCATCGCTCGCCCTGAAAGGGTCAGAGACCATATGTGACATACGTCCTTGTTTTTCGCGCCCTGACGCCCTGGCAGGAGGCGCACAGCAGCATGCATGACGTAATCTCGTTGCTTGCGGTTTTTCTGCGAACCCGCGCTCAGCAACGTGAGAGGCACGTTTTTGCCCACGCGCTTTGATGGTGTATGGTTTGTTCGTTCGTTCGTTCGAGTGTTTGCGTGTGTACAATTATTGAGTATTGGCATTGCGCTGGCACGCTTTGGCTGAAGGCACAAACGTGTGTTTCGCCATCGTCGGATGGTAATGGAGCTTGGTTCGTTCCAGACATCGCCCTTGCACAAACTATATCAGAAGTAGCATCCCAGCCGCGATGGAGCAGCATGCTCAGCAGATGAACGATGGACTAGATTCAAAGACTGGTGGAACACTTTCAGACATAGCAGGGCACGATCACCCAGCAGCAACAGACCATCAAACTCCAACGCAAGTCTTCGCAAAGCACATGGGCAAGTCCATAGCCTACGATGTGACAAGCAACAGGTTCAATGCGATCAAGGCACATCGGGGCACGACCCCCAGGAATTTTCGAGAACTATTGGACATACGCACCAAGGGAGTCTACGGCGTTCGTAGACACCCGCTTGCTCGGTAAGCCATCCACCTTCGGCGGCGACATGGACGAGCACAGCAAACTCAGAGGCATCGTGACCCAGACAGGGCAGTCGTTTGTGATGAAGGCCGAATGAGAAACAGTGAACCCGAGGCAGTCCGACCGCACGAAGAAAACCCAGCTCACCGAGACAGTGGAGTTGAACAACGAGGAGCTGGGTGCTTGAGCCACGTTTTATTACGTATTGGCAGCCCTGTGCAAGGAGAAGGGGCATCGTGCAGTCGGTTCCTAGGGGGCGGGATTCGAAGCATGGCGTCGACGATGTCAGAAGTACGAGATATGAAGATCGGACAGCAGAGATATTACCAGCGAGCATATTGAGGAGCTTGTTAAGCGCGCGATCCATACCAGCTGCATTGTGAGCGCACCTGGTGCTGAACGCGACGGGGTTGCAGACGTTTGATTCGGCGACGGCTTAGGTGGTTCGCTTTTTGCGGGCACACCAGGCAGTGCATATGAAAGACGGCCCAGCGGCAATGGGCGCAGGCGTTCTCAGGTTCGGTCGAGACAAGGGCAAGGATGATGACGGATGCAAGGGCCAGCGCGGCAGCGGCGGGGGCCGCGGCACATCGGACCAACAATAATCACCCGTGATGCCACAAGCAAGGTCACAAGCTGAGAGCGCAGGACAGCGGAGGCGGACATCAAGGACGGCCACGCGACGAAAAAGCAGCTGCGCGAGATCAGTAAAGGCAGGGGCGAGATCGGCAACGGCATGGACCGAGAGAAGGAGGACAAGCTGAAACGACATGGCTGTCTTCAAAGGATACGAGGAGGTCGTCGCTTCCGCGCTGGTGGGCGGGGGACGGGGCATGGGGCGATGCCGAATGGTACTCATCAGAGCGGGCAGCGGCATGAACGGAGCAGAGGATCGGCCGAGATCCAGGCAGGCACTTGCGAAGCGCATTCTATATTGAACGCGACGCCCACCTCGCAATGCAGATGCCCACATATGCTGCCCATTTGCGACGCGAAGCTTGCCTTGGGACCCCCGGTTGTCGAGCGCGGGGCATCGCGGCCAGTTTTTTCCCGCGCCGACCTTCCGACGCATGGCGAAGGCCGCTTTTGCGGAGTTCATCATTATTGCCGCTTGCGCGCGGCCGTGGAACAGCGCCCCTGCTCGTCGGCGCGCGCGACAGGGCCGCGCAAGCTCGCAGCACGTCTCGAGGCGATCCGTCTTTCCGCGGACCAGCGGGCGCAGTCCAGGACCCGAGAACATTATGCGCCCGCCCGAACCCACGCACGCAGCACAGTCAGCCTTCCTAGGATGGATGGGCGACATCCCAAGGCCACCATTGCATCCTTCCCCCTCGGCCCATCTTCGGCCGCCTTCGCTGGCCGCGCCCCGCTCGCGAAGCGTCGGCGCGGCCTCCGAAGGCCCTTGCACGCTTATCGCGCGCCCTTATCATGCGGGCTGACTGCGCGCCCGCCAGCGCACGCGCGCCCGGCCACAGCTGTGGCGCATGTTTCACTGGAGATGCCCGCGCGCCGTGCCTCTCCACTCCAGTGCCTGCGACGAGAGCCGCGAGGCTGGTTCAAACAACGAGCCCTGGATCGTTCGGGCACGTTCCCAGGCGGAAACATGGGATTTGGGCCAGGGTGGGCCATGCCGACGACGAGGCTGCCGAGTCGGCGAATTTTTCGCGGCCATCAATCGGCCTTGCCACGCGCGCGCGTACACGCACGCTGCGCGGCAGGGTGGGCGTCGACATTCGGCGCCCCAGTGGATTCGGAAGAGGCAGTTGGCGGCGACCAGGATGCGACGCGAGTGTCGACTACCGACGAAGAAGGACAACTCGAAGCACGACGACAATCGCCATCAGCCATTGCTTTCGCTGCGCAGATTTTCGCCTATGGGGGCAGGTCGCGAAGGCACTCGCGCTCGGGGCGGGGCAGATCGGGGCAGGCCTTCCGCGCCCGTCGCCGCCGTGGACACCTGCTTCCCCAATCGCCGCGAGGCCTCCGACTCGCCGGGGATTTCAGCCCGGCGCCAACGGCCTGAGACAGCTGCGATGGCGCCGCGGCCGCGGCGAAGGGCCCGAACGAGCGCGCGGTTTCAGCGGCGGGGCCCCGTGAACCCGCGGGGCTGCCCGGCGGTCGCGCCGGGGAGCGATCGGGGGCCAGCTCCGCAGGCGTCGGCGACGCTTGCGCAGGACAAGGGGGCGCAGGGTACGACGCTCGGAAAGAGCTTTGCGGGGTCGCGCCAAAGCTGCGGCGGCGCCGGGAACGCCGCGGGCCGGTTCGAGAGTTCGCCGGGCACGTTGTTGTTGGCATTGGGGGCGATGCCCAAAATGATGAAGCCACGCGCGGCACTCGCGAAATTCGCGCCCAGGAGCGACTGATAGACGCCGCGGGAACGATTGCGCCGAGCCAAGCGCGCGACGGAGATGCCCGAGATCGGCGCGGCGGTGGACTTCAAAATGTAGCTTCGCGATTGGGCGACGCTGGGCCAGAGGCTGCAGGGCGGGGCCTGCGCGGGGCGGCGCGACGAGAGCGATGAGACAGGACAATCATCGGCACGGCGAGGGGCGCCGAGCACGCGAGGGCGGTCGAGGGGCGCGCTCGGGAAGAGCGGTGGAATGCGGAGGCCTCCAGCGGTTTCTTCGGGGCCCCGTGGAACCCGGGGGGCTCAGGGGTCGATGCGGCGCAGGGCGCGGCGGCGAAGCAGGGGCGCTGCGTCGCGAGGCCAGGGCCATCGAGCACGGCGCGCTGGGCGGGCGCCCTGCGCGCGGGGAGATCTGTGATCGGGGGAACCAGAGGATCGCGCCGCCAGCGTCGGCGCCAGCTGCGAGCGGCGCGGCCCCGGCACAGGCAGCGACCCCGGGGCCGCCTGCCCCGAGCGCGCCGCCGCCAGCTGCGAGGGTGGCGGACGCAGATCAGATCGACAAGCCCATGGAGATGGCGTTCGAGGAGCGGGCCAAGGTCTGCGATGTGCTCGAGGCCATGGCCAGCTGGAACAGCGTCGTCTCCGACGAGTTGAAGCGCGAGGGAGGAGCTGGACAGGGACATGGCCGACGAGGGCACGTCGAGGGGCGCGCAGCACACAATGTTATGGACTTCGAGGTCCGAGGACTTGATGCCAGCGTTTGATGCCGATGCCCCCCGAGAGTTTCTGTAAGACATGATGTACAACAAGTAGATCATCAGGAGAAGGGGTGCGCGCGGACGGTTCAGGCGCGGATCGCGCCTCGTTTTTTTCCTTTTTAATATATAAGAAAATGTTCTATTCTATTTTATTTTATTTTCCCCCCCTTTATTGTATTATTCCTCCTTCTTCTTTTTTGCGGGCGCGCCGTCGAGTTGGGCAGTCCATTTCGCGACGCCGAGGGCAGCGTCAACGCGCGGCGAGAAGTCAGGGGTTCCATGACGTCAGCACAGGTCTTGCCCATGCGGCGTCGGCCAATAGCAGCGACGGCAGTCCTATAGTGGGCGACCTACGCAACGGAAGCTCAGGAATGCCACCTCCGGGACTCAGAGGCGTCGACGTTGTTCCGCGTTGTTCCGCGAGGCCGCAGGGGGCACTTCAACTTCAAGATCAACGACGCAGAGGAGCGCAAGAGGGCACGCTGCGCGCGCGACCGCGGCGAGGCGGGCGCGCTGGCGGCGGGGCACGGCGACGACTTGATCGCGGGGGGCTTCGACGAGAGGCTGAATTTGATGGGCTAGATTCCGTCGGAGTTTGTCCGCGCCGCGCCGCGGCGCGAGGTTGGGCCGCCGGGCGGCGCGACGGAGGTTTGTTAGACGTAAGAGTGACTTCTCGCCAGAGTGACTTTTGGCGCGGGCACAGATGGGTCCTCGGATGGCTGAGAACGAAGCGGTAGCAGCGGCTTGCGCGCCCAGGTTTGGCCCCCCCGCGCCGCCCAAAAAGCCGCGCGCCAAAGGTCGCTCGTGCCCGGGGCCACTCTTGCGTGTAGCCGATTTTGTTTTTTTTGTTTTTTTTTTTTTTTTTTTTTTTTCTCGACGGGTCTGTAGCGCGGTCCGAGAATCGCTTCTTCGTCTTCCCAGACCCGAGTCTCGCGGAATACATGGCGAAGTTGCGCGAGTTAGAGACGGCCGCGGCGGTGGATTTGCCCGGCTCAAAGCTCGCGCCAGATCGAGCGCATGAGGCCGCGGGCCCGATTCAGCTGCCAGAAGGAGTTCGGGCCAGGTCGCGCGGCG